TCACACATGGTGCAGCAGGTCCTTCAGCGCTTCGACTTCACGTACTCCTCGCCCCAGGCCACTCCTCTGTCCACTCGCCACTCGCTCTCAGCTCTGCCTTCGGATGAGTCCGTAGAGCTGAGTGGCCCGCACCCAGAGCTTGTTGGCTGCCTCATGTACCTGATGGCCTGCACACGACCTGACCTAGCATACCCTCTTAGCATCTTGGCACGCTATGTTGCTCCTGGGGAGACACCGACCAAAGCACATGGCTGCAGCGAAGAGGGTGTTGCGCTACTTGTGCAGTACGTCGGGCATGGGGCTAGTGCTTGGAGGGCGACCTCCAGTGGTCCTCACAGGTCACGCAGACGCTTCTTGGGCTGACAACCAGGCTACGCAGCGGTCGTCACAGGGTTACACCTTCAGCCTTGGCTCCGGCTCTGTTTTGTGGCGGTCTACCCGCTCGTCTTTTGTTCTCGGCTCCAGCTGTGAGGCTGAGATCTACGCGGGGGCCATGGCTGCACAGGAGCTACGCTGGCTCACCTACCTGCTGATTGTCCTAGGAGAGCCGCCTCGTTCTCCTCCAGTTCTGTACGTAGACAACAAGGCCATGCTGGCCTTGTGTCGGGAGCACAGACTGGAGCACAGAACTAAGCATTTTGCTCTTCGCTACTTCCTTGCTCGTGAGCTGCAGCAGCGTGGTCAGTTGCGCCTTGCTTACGTGGCCTCTGAGGTCAACATTGCTGATATCTTTACCAAGGCACTTCCGCCTTGTGATCATCAGCGCTTTTGTACCATGCTAGGTCTTGTGCCTACTTGGCCTCACTTGCTCACTTCTTGACTTTGCTTGTACTATGATCTATATATACCTGCACTTGCATGCTTACCCTTGCTAGGTTGAGATCACTGCCTTGTTTGTTCATCTTGATATATAACTCTGCATGTGAACTGGCCTTGTGGCCTTGTGCTTGTGCTCAGATTGTGTGGTGACGTTGTGATCCACCCTGAGCTTGCCTTGCTTCTCTTGACTGGTCTGGTGACCTCTTGTTCTCCCCCACTTAGCCTATGGGGATGTGTCAAACTTATATGCTATAGTATGTGGAGGCTGTAGTGGGGTAGCTCATATGGGGTACAACACTTTAGGGTTTCCTACTTGTACTCCTCATGCTGCTCAATGCAATCATTCCTTGTTCTTTCACAAACCACACTGTAAACCATTGTACCACGCGGAACACCACTTGGGTGAGCGTGGATAGAGGTAGAGTGGCGAAATCAACATTTTCGCCACTTCATAGTTGCGTGAAAGCGAGTGGCCATTTGTCACTTCGAAGTCACTTTGGGGCCAAAGCTTTCTCTGAGCCCCGCCAAAGGTTTTCCGAAGCTTTTTCGTAAGAAAAGCTTTTGTGTACATTTTAAGGGTTCGAGACATTTCGCGATGCTGGCACGATGGCTGCATTCTATGTCAAACTGTATATGATATGCTAGATTATGTAGGCTGTAGTGGGGTAGCCAATGTAGGGTACAACCCCTTAGGGTTTTCACTTAGTACCACCGATTTTTCTTAGTTAACTCTCAAGCCCGACTGCCTTCCGAAGGACTCCAGCAAAGCCTCCGATTCCCTCAGTTGTGTCTCCCCTTCCAGCAGAAAAGAGGTGTCGTCCGCGTATCCCACGTACGCCAGACGTTCTGCTCCCGGCTCTCCTACGCCCAACTGCCGGCGACGTATCTCTCTGCAGAGCGGTTCCAAGGCACACAGAAACAGGTACGGCGCCAGTGGACACCCTTGCCGTACCCCACGCTCCATGTCCACTTTTTCGCTCAACCACCCGTTCGTTGTCACTCTCGTCCCTGCCTCCTTGTACAGGCCCACTGTCCACCGCACGAAATTCTCTGGCACTCCCAGCTCCGACAGCGCTCTAAAGAGATACCCCCGTGAGACCATGTCGTACGCTTTTTGAAAATCCTCCAGCAGCAGCAGCCAATCCTTCCCGCCGTTATTCGCTGCCTTTACTGCGTCAACCACCACCGACACCGCATCGGCAAGACTCTTCCCTGGTATAAAACCATGTTGCTCTTTCGTCAGCACTTTCGCCAACACTTTCTTGAGCCTTGTAGACATTACTCTGGCTATGATCTTGTACAGTGAGTTTAGCAGTGTGATTGGGCGGTAGTTCCCCAGCTGATCTCTTTCTCCCTTCTTGTGCAGGAGCACTGTGACCACTGTGGCCAAACACCCCGGGAGACTGCCTGACGCCTCAAAATCCCTCACCATCTGCATCACTCTCCCTCCCAGGAGGTCCCAGTGCACCGCAAAAAAATCTGCTGGAAGCCCATCTTGCCCTGGGGACCTGTCTTTCGGCTGGGAGGCAATTGCCTCTTTCACCTCTGGCTCCGTCCAGCTTCTTCCGAGCTCAGCCGCATCGACCTCCGAGAAACGCGGACCCAGTGCGATAGCTTTCTAGTCCACCTCCTCCTCCGGTTGCACGTCGCTGAAAGCCGCCCTGAAATGTTCTTCCACCGCTTGCAGCACTTCGCGCATGCCTTCGTACCTCACCCCGTTATGTTTGACCTCATGCACCGTCGTACGACTCTTCCTGATCTTGACCTTCGCTGTTAGGTAAGGCGATGGGACCTCCCCATTCATCTCCACATTCATCCCCGCCAGAACCTGCAGCCGCTCCTTATCTGTTTGAAATTTATGTAACGTCTTGAACACGTCTGGAAATAGCAACGGATACGCTTCTTGGGGAGTAAGGGCTTGTGGGGCTGGTGGGGCTGGCGAAATCGGGCGATCTATGCCGGTGTTCATATTTGTCATGCAAAAATTCTCAGGGGCGCGATGTACGAACCATCTATTTCCCGCGGAATTTCTTTCGCGAGTCCCTCTTTTGCGTTCAGGTGGGTCAGCGAACAATTTTTCGTGTCTCAGATGGTAATTCGTCCCCTCAGGTATTTCCTACCGCAGCAGCATTCCGATTCGTAAGACGCCGATACTTTCGCGACGAGTGACGAAGCGAAACCTGGGGGATACACGGATACAAATTTGTTCACTAAGGAGCGGGATGTGCTCAGCTCAGGTGGGCACCTGAAAGTGGCTTGCCTGAAGAGAGATTACGAGAGGAGTCAGGGGCAATTTTGAGTCACCATGAGTGGAGGGAGAACGACAATGGCTTCGATGCCTGCCAGGGGCAAGCCCGACACACATCCATTCATTACCCTAGGACGCATCGCCCTAGGACCGGCCCACCGGGTGGCCGGCTAGCTCTCAGCCCTCAGGCTGAGCCATGCTGCCCACGCATGCTTCTCGGCACCCCATGGCTTCCATTCGCGCCGTAGCGCCCGGCCGGCATGACTGCAAGCCCTGCGATGCGATGCGGTAGAATGATCCCATTAAGTGCGAGTACCGCCTGTTGAAAAAATAACAAGAAAGGTATGGAGTCACAGCTGCCGCAGGCGAGTGTTGAACCCTGGGCCCTCAGCGAACAAGATCTCCCACATCCTCACCTCGTGACTTGGTTTTCACTCCGAGCACTAGTACTACTCCCAGACTTAGTAAGAGTCTCACATACAAACCAAGGACAGTTCCTCCTAGTGCAAACTATCGAAGTGCGACGCATTACCGCTCACTAGATCTGCTTGTCCGATTTTCACTCCACGCTGTTCGGCTACCAACGTCGCCTGTCTCAAAATGGCTCGTGACACAGAGCGCTTGCACATCGCTTCTCTCCTCGTCGCATCGCTGGTCATCGGGATCATCTGCGGTCCCGCGCCTATCGTGGCGTCGGTACTGGATGATGCAATCAACAAGGCGAACTCGGTAGGGATGATGCGATAGTAACCCGACATACACTGGGTATCACACCGTTACTAGTATCACGCGTATTGCAATTACTGAGTATTTCGCATGTGTATCCATCACGTATGCGTTCTGCGATGTCCTGGCTCGGCGTGGGAAATGCCATGATTCCGAAGTAGAAAACGGCATTAGCAAGGCGAGCTCGCTAGGCTTTCGAAGCGCGAAGCTCGTCAGCGCGTTTTCATGTGCTTCTGCGTGTGAAAATTAGAAGAAAGAAGAGGATTGAACTAGCAAGAATGGGGATACAAATAGCAAACCCTAGAAGGGTTGTACTCGCTATGGAGCACCCCACTACAGGCTAGAGTATAATATTCTGACACACCCCCATAGCCAAAGTGGGGTGTAATCAGCAGAGCAAGCAAAGCAGTACAAGCTCAGGGTGGATCACAATGTCACCACACATTCTGAGCACAAGTTCAAGAAGCAATAGTTTAAAGTTAACAATTATGAGCAAAGCTAGAGGCTATCGCAGAGGGCAAGTGAGAGGAGAGGAGATAGGAGGCGACGGCTGAAGCTGCAGACACACGGGCAACAAGAGGCACACTGGCACAGTGGCTACCGGAGCAACTCTCCGGACTACTGGAGTAACTGGCCCCGCGGCTAAAGTAGCGGCAGACGAGCAACGGACCCACGGGCGACTGGCACAGGTGGCTACGACTGGGCTACCGGAGCAACTCCCCGGACTACAGGTGCTGCTGGCGACATGACGGCAACCTCCGTTCAGCTTCCCAAACAGTCTCAAACCCCTAACACACACCCCCTACTGCACCCCTAGGGTCACTCACACCCCACCCCCTAGCACGACTCCGTCGACTCCCACACACCCACCCCCCTCAGCGGCAGCTGCAGCAGTGGGAGACAGAGGAGGAGGAGGAGCAGGGGAGACCACCCACCCGCCACCCCCCCACTCGCCACCCCCAAACCCGAACACAGGGCAGGGCGGGATGGCGAGTAGGGAGGTTACGGGGGGGGGGGGGGGGCGACGCGCGGCCTCCCATGGCGCCAAAGTAGGCGGCAGAAGGGGGGGCGACGCTCGCCCCCACCCCCAAGTCGCCCCTCCCATCACCGCGGCCCCCGAAGGAGCCGCGACGGGCGACGGGAAAAAGGGGGGGGGGGGGGGGGGGGTTGCACGTGCCCCCTTGTGCGCCGCGGCTGACGACGAGGCATGGCCGGGGCGGGGCCGGGGCCGCAAGTGGCGGGGAAGGGGTCGCTGCGGGCGGCGACAGGGCTGCTGCGCGCGGCGACGGGCCCGCTGCGCGCGGCGAGGGGCCGGGACGGGCGGCGCACGGGCGTCGACGGGCCGGGGCAGCGGCGTGGGGCCGGGACTGGCGGCGCACGGGCGGCGTGGGGCCGGGACGGGCGGCGCACGGGCGGCGTGGGGCCGGGACGGGCGGCGCAAGGGCGTCGACGGGCCGGGGCAGCGGCGTGGGGTCGGGACGGGCGGCGCACGGGCGGCGTGGGGCCGGGACGGGCGGCGCACGGGCGGCGTGGGGCCGGGACGGCGTGGCGCACGGGCGTCGACAGGCCGGGGCAGCGGCGCGGGGCCGGGACGGGCGGCGCACGGGCGGCGTGGGGCCGGGACGGGCGGCGTGGGGCCGGGACGGGCGGGTCCCCGTCGCAACGCCTCCCGAGGGCGACGCGCCGAGGGACGGGGTAGAAGCCCGCCGCGCGCCTCGGGGCGCACAGCGGGCAAAGAACCGCCGCGCGCCTCGGGGCGCACGGCGGGCAGAAAACCGCCGCGCGCCTCGGGGCGCACGGCGGGAAGAAAAACTACCGCATGCCACGGGGCGTGCGGCACAGAGAGTAGTAGTAGTAGTTGCAGTGGAAGCAACGAGGTGGTGAGCCCACCCACAGGATCGATCCAAGGGGATCGACCTGCTCTGATAGCATGTGAAAATTATAAGAAAGAAGAGGATTGAACTAGCAAGAATGGGGATACAAATAGCAAACCCTAGAAGGGTTGTACTCGCTATGGAGCACCCCACTACAGGCTAGAGTATAATATTCTGACACTGCGGACGTCTTTGTTCCCAATCTATACAATTTCTATGCGTGATGTTCATCGTTCGTGGAAAGGCGACGAAAAAAAAAAAAAAAAACATATAACAGCAGAAATTACATATGCATTTGTCAAATATTCGACGGATTGTGACAGCTTAGAGGAAGGATTGAGTCGTGGACGGCCGAATGACTCATTCGAAACGTTTCCGTCGTGTGTGTGCGTTGTGCGTGATTGTGTGTGATTGTGCATGATTATGCGTGTTTGTGCGTGTCCAGATGGCGACACAGATGGGAGCAGACGCGACTACCACAGAGCTGGTTCTCAAATCCAACGTGGAGCTCACGGCGTGAGTTCCCCGTCAATCCACGTCTCCACATGTCGCCACTTGTATGCTTGCCGCTTAATGCCAGGAACGGTTAATTGGTTCCGCATACATGCGTATGCTACCACGCCTCCATCACCAATTTAATATGCTACCCATCCCATCAAGCAGGCCCTATGCCACCATGTGCATTATCACATCATTATTTGATGGTAAATTCAAGAAATCTCTCTCACCTCTTGCTTGAGTCAACTGAACAGAATATTTGTTTTTCCTACTCCCCTTCCCACTCCCTCTTCCCCCTTCCCCCTTCCTCCCCTTCTCCCCCCAACAGCCGCCTCCCCGCACTCTCAGGCGCGGCCAAGCTGACCATCAAGGGCGCGTGCGGATCCACCGGGTAGGTAACAGGGTTGGGACCATCGTTGCACCCATCATGCCATCGTCCTCGTCATCGTCTCGTCTGTAACACCCAAGGCTATTATAATGGAGTTACAATGCTTTTATAATAAATCTCAATACAAGTTGAAGCTCTAACTAGCTCCCAATAGACTTGGAGGTGTCAATCTTCTTGAAGGAGTTGTTGAAAAGGCTTGAGAGAATTGTGTAGGAAGGCTTGTGAGAGAGCTCTCAATGACTTAGGCAAAACAATCCCATTTCCAATTGTTTAGTTGGAGTGGGAGGTTGAGAATGAGCTTGCTTAGCTCAGACCCCCTCAATACACCCCTTGGGGAACTATCCCAACCATGGTTTCCATGGTGGGATGGTTCCTAGGCTTGGAGCCTATGTGGCAATTGTGTTGGGTTGGAAAACCCCACTTAGAACCATTCAACGGTTGTGTTTAGGATAGAGTAGATTGTAACACTTGTTTGGCAGTTTCTGATTGGTTGGAATTCCAACCTTTAACATTCTCTTGGTTGAGTTGGAAATGTTCCAAACCTCCAAAGTTGAGGCTTGGCAAACCCAAACCAAGTTTCATCCCAACCAACTCAACCATCTTCTCCAACTCTTCCTTTGTCGAGAGAATTTCTCAACAATTAACTTAGAGAGATCGATGGTTGTTAGCTCGGTAGTTAGGGTAATACGTTACATCGTCCATCTCTCCAACCCGCTTCGTTCTGTTCTTCGCGCATCTCTTCCCTCCCCGTTCACCAGAATCGACAAGTGCATCATCAGCGGGCGTGGCGCCTTCCCCATATTCACCTCCCCCTCGACGATCAACACGGCGGGGCAGTTGACTCTGGTCAACCTCACCTTCCAGTACGCGTTGGGAGGCGTCTTTTCCAAGGTGTTGACGCCAGTCGACGCCAGTCAATGCAATTTCGCCCACAACATAGCTGCTGCTGATGCTGGCGGAGGGGTGCTCAGGTGAGAGGAGGGGAGTGTTGGGGGGGAGTTGAGAGAGTGAGAGGGGTGCTCGAGCGAGTGTGTGTGCAAGGTGCAGTTGAGAGTGTGTGTTTGTGGTGCAAGCGAGAGTGTGTGTGGTGCAAGTGAGAGTGTGAGTAATGCAAGTGAGAGTGTGCATAATGCAAGTGAGAGTGTGCGTAATGCAAGTGAGTGTGTGTAATGCAAGTGAGAGTGTTCAATGCAAGTGCGAGTGTAATGCAAGTGAGTTTGTGTGGTGCAGGCTCCTCCCTGCGACAGCCACCCAACCCTCCCTCCTCCCTCCCTCCCTCCCTCCCCTTCTACTGTCTCCCCAACCTAACCCAACAGAGACAACATCACAATAATGCCTGTGCCTCCCAAGCGGCTCTTCACGCGTTGCATCTTTTACAACAACTCCTCGCCCGCCCTGGGGGGTGGCGCGGTCAACATAGACGCCCACACCTTCAACGCCACCGGCCTCACTGACCGCGTGCCGGCTCTCACCTTCCTGCGCTGCCGCTTCATGGACAATAGCGCGCCGAACCACCTGGGCAAGGCGGTTAGGGTGGCGGGGACGGCCAGGCTGCGGTTCGAGGAATGCGTGTTCGATGGGAACAGCGCTGATGAGTGTGTGTGAGTGTTCAAGGCCTCGGCACCGCCAATGTCAACACATCATCTCACAAATCATCTACCGTACCCTCCCTCCATCACCCCTTCCTCCATTCTCCCCTCCACCCATCCAGGTGTTTCTGGGGGAGCCATCTACGCTAAAGACGCTGCCTTCACTTTTGTTAGAGCCACCCTAAACTACAACAAGGCTCTCGGCACCTCCACTCTCAACAGCATCACCTCTGGCGAAGGCGGTGCGGCCTATGCCGTGGCGTCGGGACGAAACTCTGAGGCTGCGGTGCGCTTCTGCTCGTCGACCTTCCAGGCCAACACCGCCAAGTTCACAGACGGCAGCACGCTGTACATGGAGACTGGCTGGGGATCGTCGTGGGCGGCAGTGTTGTCAATTTGCGACGGGAGCAAGCCGACTGGCACGGTGGTGCCCACGACTGGATGGAAGCTGGTGACCGGCTGCCCAGCCAGGTGAGGAAGTAGGCTGGCTGGGTAAATGGAGATGAGTGGGTGAGGAGCTGGGGTGGCAGTGCTGTGGGAATGGTGGGATCAGGCTGGCACACTTGGTGGTGGGGGTCAGTACCTCGTGTGGTACTCTGCTCTGTTCACTACCCACACTCAACCTCTCCCTCATGCTACCCCCCACCTTCCCCTTGCATGACTTGTGTTCTTACGGCTCTCCTCATGGTCTCCCATCAACCTCTCCCTCAGCAGCGTTGCTGCTTCCCATGCCTCTCCCGTCTCGCCTCTCTCCCCCTTTCCCTCTGTCCAAGCAGCACCTGTAATGCTTGAGCCCTGCGTGTCACCCTTCTCCCGCAGTCAACTCTTTGGACTCTCAGGCTCCTCACTTTACACTCACCAGTAGTCATGCTTCCGAGTCTTGTGATCGTAACGAGTACATACATAAAGAGCTTTGAATCTTGAATACTGTAACCCGTACTTGATGTACAGAACAAATTTCATAATACCAAGGCCCAATTGCACCAGCAGCAGACTGGGAAGGACACATTGAATAATGCGATCCACTAGAAGAGTGATCAACCAGCAGGAGCTGGAGCAGCCAAACTTGTAAATGATTGTTGCCGGGTTTGCAGAGGTGGTGGGGGATAACCGCGAAGCAGGGATGCAAGAGATGGCGGTAAAATAACACTTCCTGTAACAGTTACAGGTGAAGGCAGTGATGGTGGAGCAGCAGTAGGTGAACCAATTGGTGCTGCCGAGGGAGGCTGAACCACAGGCACTGGTGGTGGTGGTGGAGTGCCTGCAGCAAGGATAACATAAGGAACTCAGTCTCAATCCACATCAGGATCATACATTGTACGACAAAGCCTTAAAACTTACCCATATAGCAGGTGTAAGGGTATGTTGGGGCTGATGGAAATTGATCAAACTTCACTCTGTAACCCAGCTGGTGAGTCAAGTTTCCAGCTCCTTGAGGCAGGGGGCCAAGCCATTGACAAGCATCAATAAAGCTGTACGAGAGATACGGCTGCGCCTGAGAGATGTTGAGGAGATGGCTCCATGGCACCCATCCGCTTGTGTTTGTTCCCGGTCCCCAACAGTCAAACTACGGTAGAAGTAGGACAAGGGGTTAACTTTAATCCAGAAAAACAAGATCAGATGTAAAAGAGTATTTTGATGGACGGGCCATTACTTACCATTGCAAAGAAGGTGGTGTTGTGTCTGGATGCATCACCCCAGTCGTACCAGGCTCCGTTTTGTACAATGTTACTGATAAATGACCAAGCATATACAGTCCTACTCGCATTTCCCCATGCCCTTCCCAGGTAAACCTGAAATTAACGATTACAAAGTGCAAGTTATTCAGTTGCAGTTACAATGACGCTATGCAGCTCATCAATTCACTCACCCGACCGTTCCCTGTGATGATGCTGCGAATGAATACGAAGCCAGACCGCTTAGTCATTGACCTCCTGTACTGCGCTGCCACTGCTCCGCCATTCTTCCTGGCTTTGGCATAGAACACGCATCCCTGAGATAATAGGCATCGTTAGAAATCCAGTATAGGAGCAATAAACCTCCAATCCAATCACCAGGAGAGTTACCTCATACACGGATGTTGCATCGCCAAAGACAAAATCAATATTCCCTTCAACGTAGCAGTCGCGGAAGTAGTGAAGACCCTGCAAAACTCAACAAGAGCTTTCAGAAAACTATAACATTTAGAACAATAAGTTGCACATGAAGGCATTATACCCTGTGCTTACCTTGTGATCATAGAGGGTGTCCTGCCATCCAATGAAACGACAGCTGTAGAATGCAGCCATCGTGCCGGAGATGCGAAGGGCTACCGCCATAGGACCACTGGCTGTCTCGTTGCTGAGAGGCGGTGGTGGAGGTGCTGAGTTCTGTAAGGTACAAAATACGTCAGAAAACTCGCAATGAAAATGCCATTGAAACACTTTGACAAGCGGCGACGGAAGAACATTGACCTGGAACGTGATGTTGAGAGCAACGAAGTTGTTGGTTTCAACGCAGACAGAGCAGGACCACAAAGTTCCCAACACGTATCCGTTGGCCAGCTCTCTCGCAGCGTAGTCATCGTAGGTGATGATGGTATCCAACGGATTCGACCCACGGAGCATTATGCTCACTTTGGACTTCGGAATCAAGACCTTCTCTCTGTGTCAGTTGCTCGGTCAAGCATCCCTAATGAAAGTGCAGCTTTCACAATGCAGACAGTGAAGCACTCCCTACCTATATGTTCCCGGTAGTATATCGATAACTGCGTGCGACGTCGCACTCGTTGAGGACACATAGTCGACTGCGTCTTGCACGGACGTGAAGTTACCTGTACCATCGGCAGAGACGACAACACTAGCTGCGGGATAAGCGTTCCAGACATTCTCGGGCGACATGACGTATTTGTTTTGCAGCAAGGGGGAGTCCCATAGCTCGTAGATCGAAGTTTTTTCTCCATGAGTCAAGCACGCTCCTGAAAAACGCGGGACGAGGAATTATACGCTGACCATTTCCGAAGCTACAAATTTCTTGAAGACGGCCTATTATAGTACCAAAAAGGACGAGCAGGAAAGTCAACATGCTCTCCAGGTTGCGGGTTCGTGGCATGACGGCCAAGGCTGAATTCGTGAGATCGAGTTAGAATTAAATTGTTCGTTATTCAACGACTTACGAGTTCACTAATACCTCGAGCTGACTATATAGGACGAGACAGTGCATCACGTAGATAGCTGCCTGAAGGACGACGGGGAGATCGAGAGGTCCGTCGCCTTGCATCTCGAGTGCTCGAGAGAGCCTGACAATGCGGTGTGATTATCCTGGGATTGTATTTCGACTAGCTGTTCTCAAGATCAGCATCATCCAGCTGAGTTTTGAAATTCAAGGGCTTGGATGCAAGCCTTGAGCCTTGTTCGAACATGAGGGGTAACATGCCTGTTGTGTATCCATCAGATCCTCCCCTTTTGCTCGTCTCCGGTCCGGATTCCCCTTTCACTCCCCCCACACTCCGTCCCATCCCCTCTAACCACGTTCGCCGACGGGAAATCCAAACGGAACGTTGACGGTAACCACAATCGGTGGTGGTGACTCGCTGACGAAATCTAACTCGTGACCAGCAAGCAGAAAGACGAACCAAACCCGCCCATAGGTTCGGGAAAGGTTGTGTGAGGTTTGGTCTACGAAATCGTAATGCTTCGCTCTGCCTGGTAACGCAGGGTCAGGGCCCAATATCGCGGAGTCAAAATCGGTTTCGTGCAAGTACGGCGAAGAGCCCAAATATCGCGCGGCTGAAGCGAACCATGCGAACTCTTTACGACGAAACAGCCCCAAATGGTTCCTGGTTCCCCGTCTGGGATGAAATTATTTGCCACTTCCATCCCCGCATACATGTCAAAAATCGTGACTCTCCCACTTCCAGATTTGCACTGGACACATTCCACCTTGCTAGTTTCCGTTCCTTCTCTTCCGCTCCACCTCATTCCTCCGCGAGGCGCGCCCGTCACGGTGATGCCAGCCCGTGCTTTCGCAAACACTGCGAGCCGAGCCAAGATCGCCAGTGATGAGCAGCATTGGTACGTTGGGGCGAGAAGCAATCGCGGGTAACGTTTGAGTCGACTAAATAATCAGCGCCTTTTGAGACGTCTCAAGCCTCGTGAGCAGCAATTGCCCTGCGCCATGCGCGGCGGCGCCAGGTCGTGCCACCGCTTCTACCGCTGGCTCGTTCTCCGCAACTCGTTCTCTTCCCCGCCTGACCTCCTCCCCGCTCTCACCCCTCGCTCCGTTCATCCTTCCGCTCCTCCGCCGCTCTTCCCGCCGATTCCGCGCACCGTCTTTGCGGCCTCTACTAGCCCCGGCTTTGAGGCGTCGCATAAACCGACGCCGTCGCGCACCGCCTTTCCCTCAAGTACCGCATCCCAGCCGCCCACGTGGATCGCCGGACACGTCAGCAACAACGACTACATCCCGGGAGCGGCCGTTTATAATCTCAGGAACCTCAAAAATGCCACCTGCGGCGCCGGAGGAGGCGGCTATGATCGGCGGTACGGCGGAAAGCAGCAGGCGCGCGGATATGCGCAGCAGACAAGGGGAGGGCGGCCGCGCACGCCCATGGCGGTGCCGTTTCAGGTTACACCTGAGGAGGCCCGGGCTCTGTTGCGAGAACACCTGACGGGACACCTGCTGGCGCCCGCCATTGCTGACGTGGACTCGTCTGTGGCTCTTAGTGCCGTGTTCCAGCCGTTCTGGACCTTCACTGCTGACGGTGGGTGCATGGGTGTGGGGGGGTAATGGGGAAGGGGATGTGGTGTAGGGTAGGGACAAGAAGGGATGAAATGACTGCGTGTGTGCGCACGCGCGCGTCTGCGCGTGTGTGTGCGTGCACGTGTGCACGCATGCGTGCATGGGTGTGTGTCTGAGTGCGTGCGTGCATGCGTGCGTGCGTGCGTGCGTGCGTGCGTGTGTGCGTGCGTGCGCGTGCGCGCATGTCTCTGCATGTGTGCATATTACTCCTATTGGCACATCGTTGGTGCACCTTTGCTTGCTGCCCTCTTCACTCAACCCCTCCTCACTTTCCCCTCCTTCACTTTCCCCCCCTCTCTTTCCTCCTCCACTCCTCACTTACTTCCTCCTCCCTTGCTCCTTGCACGCACTCGCCCGTTGGAGCTGGGTGCGAAGGAGGCATTATCTGCCATGCCATGCCATGCCATGCCATGCCACGCCATTCCACAGCACCCATCCCCTCCTTGTTGTCACGTTCCACACTGCCCGCCATCCTCATGTGCGCCCACACCAGGGGAAGCTTTGCACAGGGCAAATGTGGGGAAGGCGTTATCTGCCATGGCAGCGAAGTAAACCCACCCACGCTTCCCTGATTGATTCCCCTCGTTATCCTCCGGCCGTATCTAGTACCCCTGATCCCCTGTGCCCTCGTGAGCATGTGCATGGCATGGGTATGACCATGTTCATGGGCATGCTGATGGCAGTGGAAGTGGCTTACAGGGCGAGTGTGGGGAAGGCGACATCTGCCTGGTATGGTGGTAGACCCACCCATGCGCCCTTGACTACTTCCCCGTCCTCCCCCCATGTGCCCCTTCCCCCATGTGCCCCTTCGTCCATCTGTTGCGTGTGTGCTGTGGGTGGGCAGTGGAAGTGGCGTACAGGGCGAATGTGGGGAAGGCGTCATCTGCCATGGCGTGGAACCCTTACAGCCGGCGATGGGAGCAGGTGAGTCACGAAGATGGGGGGGAGAGGGCTGTAACAGGAGGGAGAGAGGAGAGACGCCATGGCAGGAGGGGAATGGCAGGAGCAGAATGGCGCGAGGGTGGGGAGCATGAGGAGCAGCAGGAGGCGAGAGAGGGGATTGGGGGGATAGGGGGAGGATGGGGGGAGGGAAGGAGAAGTCTGATCGTGTCCGCTCTCCTTCTTTTCCCATCGGCCACTCTCCTGCTCGTGTCCGCTCTCCTTCTGTTCCCATCGGCCACTCTCCTGCTCGTGTCCGCTCTCCTTCTGTTCCCATCGGCCACTCTCCTGCTCGTGTCCGCTCTCCTTCTGTTCCCATCAGCCACTCTCCTGCTCGTGTCCGCTCTCCTTCTGTTCCCATCGGCCACTCTCCTGCTCGTGTCCGCTCTCCTTCTGTTCCCATCGGCCACTCTCCTGCTCGTGTCCGCTCTCCTTCTGTTCCCATCGGCCACTCTCCTGCTCGTGTCCGCTCTCCTTCTGTTCCCATCGGCCACTCTCCTGCTCGTGTCCGCTCTCCTTCTGTTCCCATCGGCCACTCTCCTGCTCGTGTCCGCTCCCTCTGTCTTCCACCCTCTCTCCCCTGCACCGTCTCGTCCCTCCGCCCTCTTTTCCCTCCGCCCTCTTTTCCCTCCACCCTCTCTCCCCTCCACCCTCTCTTCCCTCCACCTTCTCTCTCGTTCCCTCACTCGTCTACCACCTGCATAAAACACCACTTCGCCATGCTCTTCTCTCCTTGCTCTCAACCGTGGTGTTTCCTCCTCTGTTCCATCCCGCCCTCTTCTTCCCATCCCGCCCTCTTCTTCCCATCCCGCCCTCTTCTTCCCATCCCGCCCTCTTCTTCCCATCCCGCCCTCTTCTTCCCATCCCGCCCTCTTCTTCCCATCCCGCTCTCTTCTGCTCTCACCTCTATTTCCGCCCGCTTCTCCTCCATGCTCCCCTCCTCTTCCCCAATCTCCTTCCTCTTTATTTCGGTCTCTAGCACATCTTTCTCACAGCCTCCTCCGACTCCCCCTCCATCGCCTTCTCCCCACCAATCCCACCACACAGTGTGGCAGACCACCTCTCTTGGTCCCCTCCCTTCAAGATTCTATTTTACCTCTTTCCGTCTCCCTTTCTACCCCCCTCTCCCCACCACTTCCCCCCTCCCTCCCCCTCTCCCCCCTCCCCCTCTCCCCCCTTCCTCTCCCCTCCCTCCCACCAGCACCGCCACACCGTATGGCAGGCCACCCCCTGGCTCTCTCACCCCTTCTTCCCTGCTCACCCCTTCTTCCCTGCTCACCCCTTCTTCCCTGCTCACCCATTCTTCCCTGCTCACCCATTCTTCCCTGCTCACCCATTCTTCCCTGCTCACCCATTCTTCCCTGCTCACCCCTTCTTCCCTGCTCACCCCTTCTTCCCTGCTCACCCCTTCTTCCCTGCTCACCCCTTCTTCCCTGCTCACCCATTCTTCCCTGCTCACCCATTCTTCCCTGCTCACCCCTTCTTCCCTGCTCACCCATTCTTCCTTGCTCACCCCTTCTTCCCTGCTCAACCCTTCTTCCCTGCTCACCCCTTCTTCCCTGCTCACCCCTTCTTCCCTGCTCAACCCTTCTTCCCTGCTCACCCCTTCTTCCCTGCTCACCCCTTCTTCCCTGCTCACCCCTTCTTCCCTGCTCACCCCTTCTTCCCTGCTCACCCCTTCTTCCCTGCTCACCCCTTCGTCCCTGCTCACCCCTTCTTCCCTGCTCAACCCTTCTTCCGTGCTCACCCCTTCTTCCCTGCTCACCCCTTCTTCCCTGCTCACCCATTCTTCCCTGCTCACCCCGTCTTCCCTGCTCAACCCTTCTTCCCTGCTCACCCATTCTTCCCTGCTCACCCATTCTTCCCTGCTCACCCCTTCTTCCCTGCTCACCCATTCTTCCCTGCTCACCCCTTCTTCCCTGCTCACCCCTTCTTCCCTGCTCACCCCTTCTTCCCTGCTCACCCATTCTTCCCTGCTCACCCATTCTTCCCTGCTCACCCCTTCTTCCCTGCTCACCCCTTCTTCCCTGCTAACCCCTTCTTCCCTGCTCACCCATTCTTCCCTGCTCACCCCTTCTTCCCTGCTAACCCCTTCTTCCCTGCTCACCCATTCTTCCCTGCTCACCCATTCTTCCTTGCTCACCCCTTCTTCCCTGCTCACCCCTTCTTCCCTGCTCACCCCTTCTTCCCTGCTCACCCCTTCTTCCCTGCTCAACCCTTCTTCCCTGCTCACCCCTTTTTCCCTGCTCACCCCTTCTTCCGTGCTCACCCCTTCTTCCCTGCTCAACCCTTCTTCCCTGCTCACCCCTTCTTCCCTGCTCACCCATTCTTCCCTGCTCACCCCTTCTTCCCTGCTCACCCCTTCTTCCCTGCTCACCCATTCTTCCCTGCTCACCCCTTCTTCCCTGCTCACCCATTCTTCCCTGCTCACCCCTTCTTCCCTGCTCACCCCTTCTTCCCTGCTCACCCCTTCGTCCCTGCTCACCCCTTCTTCCCTGCTCAACCCTTCTTCCGTGCTCACCCCTTCTTCCCTGCTCACCCCTTCTTCCCTGCTCAACCCTTCTTCCGTGCTCACCCCTTCTTCCCTGCTCACCCCTTCGTCCCTGCTCACCCCTTCTTCCCTGCTCACTCCTTCTTCCCTGCTCACCCCTTCGTCCCTGCTCACCCCTTCTTCCCTGCTCACCCCTTCTTCCCTGCTCACCCCTTCGTCCCTGCTCACCCCTTCTTCCCTGCTCACCCCTTCTTCCCTGCTCACCCATTCTTCCCTGCTCAACCCTTCTTCCCTGCTCACCCCTTCTTCCCTGCTCACCCATTCTTCCCTGCTCAACCCTTCTTCCCTGCTCACCCCTTCTTCCCTGCTCACCCCTTCTTCCCTGCTCAACCCTTCTTCCCTGCTCACCCCTTCTTCCCTGCTCAACCCTTCTTCCCTGCTCACCCCTTCTTCCCTGCTCACCCCTTCTTCCCTGCTCACCCCTTCTTGCCTGCTCAACCCTTCTTCCCTGCTCACCCCTTTTTCCCTGCTCACCCCTTCTTCCCTGCTCACCCCTTCTTCCCTGCTCACCCCTTCGTCCCTGCTCACCCCTTCTTCCCTGCTCACCCCTTCTTCCCTGCTCAACCCTTCTTCCCTGCTCACCCCTTTTTCCCTGCTCACCCCTTCTTCCCTGCTCACCCCTTCGTCCCTGCTCACCCCTTCTTCCCTGCTCACCCCTTCTTCCCTGCTCACCCCTTCTTCCCTGCTCACCCCTTCTTCCCTGCTCACCCCTTCTTACCTGCTCACCCCTTCTTCCCTGCTCAACCCTTCTTCCCTGCTCACCCCTTTTTCCCTGCTCACCCCTTCTTCCCTGCTCACCCATTCTTCCCTGCTCACCCATTCTTCCCTGCTCACCCCTTCTTCCCTGCTCAACCCTTCTTCCCTGCTCACCCATTCTTCCCTGCTCACCCATTCTTCCCTGCTCACCCCTTCTTCCCTGCTCACCCATTCTTCCCTGCTCACCCCTTCTTCCCTGCTCACCCCTTCTTCCCTGCTCACCCCTTCTTCCCTGCTCACCCCTTCTTCCCTGCTCAACCCTTCTTCCGTGCTCACCCCTTCTTCCCTGCTCACCCATTCTTCCCTGCTCACCCATTCTTCCCTGCTCACCCCGTCTTCCCTGCTCAACCCTTCTTCCCTGCTCACCCATTCTTCCCTGCTCACCCATTCTTCCCTGCTCACCCCTTCTTCCCTGCTCACCCATTCTTCCCTGCTCACCCCTTCTTCCCTGCTCACCCCTTCTTCCCTGCTCACCCCTTCTTCCCTGCTCACCCATTCTTCCCTGCTCACCCATTCTTCCCTGCTCACCCCTTCTTCCCTGCTCACCCCTTCTTCCCTGCTAACCCCTTCTTCCCTGCTCACCCATTCTTCCCTGCTCACCCCTTCTTCCCTGCTAACCCCTTCTTCCCTGCTCACCCATTCTTCCCTGCTCACCCATTCTTCCTTGCTCACCCCTTCTTCCCTGCTCACCCCTTCTTCCCTGCTCACCCCTTCTTCCCTGCTCACCCCTTCTTCCCTGCTCAACCCTTCTTCCCTGCTCACCCCTTTTTCCCTGCTCACCCCTTCTTCCCTGCTCACCACTTCTTCCCTGCTCAACCCTTCTTCCCTGCTCACCCATTCTTCCCTGCTCACCCCTTCTTCCCTGCTCACCCATTCTTCCCTGCTCACCCCTTCTTCCCTGCTCACCCCTTCTTCCCTGCTCACCCCTTCTTCCCTGCTCACCCCTTCGTCCCTGCTCACCCCTTCTTCCCTGCTCAACCCTTCTTCCGTGCTCACCCCTTCTTCCCTGCTCACGCCTTCGTCCCTGCTCACCCCTTCGTCCCTGCTCAACCCTTCTTCCGTGCTCACCCATTCTTCCCTGCTCACCCCTTCTTCCCTGCTCACCCCTTCTTCCCTGCTCACCCCTTCTTCCCTGCTCACCCCTTCGTCCCTGCTCACCCCTTCTTCCCTGCTCACCCCTTCTTCCCTGCTCACCCCTTCTTCCCTGCTCACCCCTTCGTCCCTGCTCAACCCTTCTTCCCTGCTCACCCCTTCTTCCCTGCTCACCCATTCTTCCCTGCTCACCCCTTCTTCCCTGCTCAACCCTTCTTCCCTGCTCACCCATTCTTCCCTGCTCACCCATTCTTCCCTGCTCACCCCTTTTTCCCTGCTCACCCATTCTTCCCTGCTCACCCCTTCTTCCCTGCTCACCCCTTCTTCCCTGCTCAACCCTTCTTCCCTGCTCACCCATTCTTCCCTGCTCACCCATTCTTCCCTGCTCACCCCTTTTTCCCTGCTCACCCCTTCTTCCCTGCTCACCCATTCTTCCCTGCTCACCCATTCTTCCCTGCTCACCCCTTTTTCCCTGCTCACCCCTTCTTCCCTGCTCACCCCTTCTTCCCTGCTCAACCCTTCTTCCCTGCTCACCCCTTTTTCCCTGCTCACCCCTTCTTCCCTGCTCACCCATTCTTCCCTGCTCACCCATTCTTCCCTGCTCACCCATTCTTCCCTGCTCACCCCTTCTTCCCTGCTCACCCATTCTTCCCTGCTCACCCATTCTTCCCTGCTCACCCCTTCTTCCCTGCTCACCCCTTCTTCCCTGCTCACCCATTCTTCCCTGCTCACCCATTCTTCCCTGCTCACCCCTTCTTCCCTGCTCACCCCTTCTTCCCTGCTCACCCCTTCTTCCCTGCTCACCCCTTCTTCCCTGCTCACCCCTTCTTCCCTGCTCACCCATTCTTCCCTGCTCACCCATTCTTCCCTGCTCACCCCTTCTTCCCTGCTCACCCATTCTTCCCTGCTCACCCATTCTTCCCTGCTCACCCCTTCTTCCCTGCTCACCCCTTCTTCCCTGCTCACCCCTTCTTCCCTGCTCACCCCTTCTTCCCTGCTCACCCCTTCTTCCCTGCTCACCCATTCTTCCCTGCTCACCCCTTCTTCCCTGCTCACCCCTTCTTCCCTGCTCACCCCTTCTTCCCTGCTCACCCCTTCTTCCCCTTCTCACCCCTTCGTCCCTGCTCACCTCTTCTTCCCTGCTAGGGTTGAGCAAAAACACGAACACCTGTTCAGTTCGCCTCGAACGTGTTCGAGGCGAACCGAACAGGTATTTTTTTTTTGGCTTAAAATGTTCGCCGAACAGTGTTCGATGTTCGCCCGAACATGTTCGTGTTCGGGCCGCTGCTGCAATTTGCCCGCGATGAACACGAACAGTGTTCGAGGTTCGCCCGAACACGCCTTCACAGGCGAACGGCGAACACCATTTTTTGCTCAAAGTGTTCGCCGAACCGAACAGTGTTCGGTTCGGCAAACGAAGGTGTTCGTGTAGGGGCGAACACGAACACGTTCGTGTTCGCCACTTGCTCATCCCTATTCCCTGCTCACCCCTTCTTCCCTGCTCACCCCTTCTTCCCTGCTCACCCATTCTTCCCTGCTCACCCATTCTTCCCTGCTCACCCATTCTTCCCTGCTCACCCATTCTTCCCTGCTCACCCCTTCTTCCCTGCTCACCCATTCTTCCCTGCTCACCCCTTCTTCCCTGCTCACCCCTTCGTCCCTGCTCACCCCTTCTTCCCTGCTCACCCCTTCTTCCCTGCTCACCCCTTCTTCCCTCCCTGCTCAACCATTCTTCCCTGCTCACCCCTTCTTCCCTGCTCACCCCTTCTTCCCTTCTCACCCCTTCTTCCCTGCTCACCCCTTCTTCCCTTCTCACCCCTTCTTCCCTGCTCACCCCTTCTTCCCTGCTCACCCCTTCTTCCCTGCTCACCCCTTCTTCCCTGCTCACCCATTCTTCCCTGCTCACCCATTCTTCCCTGCTCACCCATTCTTCCCTGCTCACCCATTCTTCCCTGCTCACCCATTCTTCCCTGCTCACCCCTTCTTCCCTGCTCACCCATTCTTCCCTGCTCACCCATTCTTCCCTGCTCACCCCTTCTTCCCTGCTCACCCCTTCTTCCCTGCTCACCCATTCTTCCCTGCTCAACCCTTCTTCCGTGCTCACCCCTTCCTCCCACCAGCATCGCCTCTCCCATCACCTTCCTCCCCACGCCTCTCCCATCACCTTCCTCCCACCAGCATCGCCACACCGCCTGGCAGGCCACCCTTTGGCTCTCTCGCCCTTATAGTTTTTCTTTCCCTCTTTCCGTCTCCCCTCCCTTCCCCTCCCTCCCTTTCACCAGCATCGCCACACAGTATGGATGGCCACCCCGTGGCTCTCCCGCCCACTGCAAGCTCCCTCCACCGACCCCCTCATGCAGCTCTACGCTGCCACCAGGTGCAGTGCAGTGCAGAGTGATGATACATGGTGTTATAGGCTCAGAATCATCAGGGATCTTTCAACTTTGCCCTTTCGCGTTTCGATCCCCTCCCCACTCTGCTTGACTTGCTTTCCCTCCCCACTCTGCTTGACTTGCTTTCCCTCCCCACTCTGCTTGACTTGCTTTCCCTCCCCACTCTTCACTTGAAACGCTCTTTAACCTTTCTTTTCCTCCTTCTTTTCCTCCTTCTTTTCCTCCTTCTTTTCCTCCTTCTTTTCCTCCTTCTTTTCCTCCTTCTTTTCCTCCTTCTTTTCCTCCTTCTTTTCCTCTTTCTTTTCCTCCTTCTTTTCCTCCTTCTTTTCCTCCTTCTTTTCCTCCTTCTTTTCCTCCTTCTTTTCCTCCTTGTTTTCCTCCTTCTTTTCCTCCTTCTTTTCCTCCTTCTTTTCGTCCCTAAACTGTGTCTCCCCCTTCCCGTTTTCTTCCGTCGCCTCCTCTTCCCTTCCTCCCCCCCGCTTTCCCTCGTCTTCTCTCCGTCTGCCCTGCAGTCTGGCGCAATTGCTTGCAGGCTGCGCAATCCACTACCAACCATCTCTCAACAATCCCATTCTCGTCTTCCCTTCCCCTTTTTACCCTCACGATTCCTCCGCTTCTTTGCTCAGCCTCCCTCGCTCCCTGGCGCAAGTGCTAGCTGGCGATGCAATCAAGCATGCGACCCCGCTGACCGATCGCATGCTGACAACTGGCAGACAGCTGGAGCTCTTCACCGTCTCCAGGTGGGCAGATGGGTTGGGTGGAAAGCGCATATCTGACATGCCATGTGCCTGGCTGACATGCCATGTGCTTGGCTGACATGCCATGTGCTTGGCTGACATGCCATGGGTTTCAAGGCACGCTTGTCACCGTTTAGGCCTCTTGAATTGAACCATGCAGTCATGCACACCTGACATGCAGTATTTTTTCTGCCCATAGCTTATTACGTGTCCATTGGCTTGTGATGGAGTGTGCATTGCTTGTGATGGTGTGTGCATGGCTTGTGATGGTGTGTGCATGGCTTGTGATGGTGTGTGCATGGCTTGTGATGGTGTGTGCATGGCTTGTGATTGTGTGTGCATGGCTTGTGATGGTGTGTGCATGGCTTGTGATGGTGTGTGCATGGCTTGTGATGGTGTGTGCATGGCTTGTGATGTTGTGTGCATGGCTTGTGATGGTGTGTGCATGGCTTGTGACTTTTGTTCATGGCTCGTGATGGTGTGTGCATGGCTTGTGATGGTGTGTGCATGGCTCGTGATGGTGTGTGCATGGCTTGTGATGGTGTGTGCATGGAGTATGGTGTGTGTGGAATATGATGTGTGCGTGATTATGGTCGGTGCATGGCGAATGATATGTGCCATGGTATATTTATCCATGTGTGCCATGCAGGGAGCGTGCATGGGCGGTGGTGAAGCAGCGGTGGATCAAGCATCTTGAGACAGAGCTCACCACCCACCTCAAATGGGTGCGCCCTCTGCTTTCCTGCTCTGCTCTGTGCTTTCCTGCTCTGCTAGCCTGCTCTGCTTTGTGCTAGCCTTGCCCCGTCCTGTGCTTTGCCCTGCCTTGCACTGCTTGCGTTGGCCTGCTCTCTTAGAGCCATACTGCACTTTGTTTACAGACCCCATGTCATGCAATCACGTGCCACATTGCCATGGTGTGCCATGGTGTCGTGTGTGTGTGTGCCATCTATTATTGCATTCTCTTCCTTTCTCAGGACCTATTATCACTTCTTGAAATCATCTTGTAATTCCAACAATAAGTATGCGCTGCCTTGCCTGTTTCCTTACTATTTACTATTTTCTATACTTGCCGAATATTCCATGGAAATCCCTCTCATCTCATCCCCGCTCGCATGAACTCCGCCATCCCCTCCCAATACCATTACCCAATCCCCCCTGCCCAATCCCCCCTGCCCAATCCCCCACTGCCCAACCCCGCTGCGCAATCGCCCCTACCAGCGCTATGAAGCGGAGCAAGTGAGAGATCTGGACATTCATCTCACCCTGCACTCCGTGTCTGCCAAGGTGCGCTCTCTCCCTTGCCCTCCTTCCCACTCACTGTGTCCCACACTCATGCGGTGTCCTCGCCTTGCTCACTAGTCATCGTTGATACCACCGTCAGCTCTGCTCCCATTAGTGACCTCGTCAGTCAGGCAGCCTGCTTTGCTTATATCCACACCTTTTTCTTGTCCTCTTCTGTCCATCACACCGACCGACATGACTTTCTTTTCACCCTGTCCACGTGCCAATCTTACATTGGCTTGGCTCTGCTGCCACCCATTGCCAAGCAGAGCAGCCCATCTTCCTGCCATCTTATGTGGCATCTTACCATCACGACAGCTGGCGCCACACGGCTGTCATCGCCGCCACGTCAGCACCATCCACCGCGCTGGCTGTCGCCGCAGACCGCCTCTTCTCCCAACCGAAATCCACGCTGGCAGCAGCAGCCGCATTGACAGCTGGCGCCGCGCTACTGGACCTGGTCCTCCTGGGGGGCGGCGTGCCTTGGCTTTTCCACCCGGCGTCGACCGCTTGGTGGATGACAGTTGGCGCGCTCTCATTGGCCGCTGGGTGGCTTGCCAGGGTGTCCCCTCGGCTCGCTGTGATTCGTCGGGGCGTGCAGCACGCTAGGGAGGTGGCTGAGGTGGCAACAGGAGGAGGGGGGCTGTGGGGGGAAGGAGGAGGGATGGAGGAGGAGGAGGTGGGGGAAGAGGAGGGGGGTGAGTTCGGCAGGGCAGAGAGGGGAGAGGCGAGAGGGCGAGGGGCAGGAGGAGGTGAAAGGCGTGAGAGTCCATTTGAGAACCCGTTTGATGGATTTCCAGGGTGAGTTGAGAAACACACTTGTTCCAGGTGAGGCACATGGGATTCAGGGGGTGAAGGCAGTATGGTTGGAAGGGTGCAGTAGAGTCAGTGCGGAACAGGTTAGTGGGGAAAGAAAGGAGAACATCAAGTGTGTGTGCGTGTGATGAACACTTTGGAAGGTGACCTACGGGGCTGGTCTGGCTGCAGATCTGGTCTGGCTGCAGATCTGGTCTGGCTGCAGATCTGGTCTGGCTGCAGATCTGGTCTGGCTGCAGATCTGGTCTGGCTGCAGATCTGGTCTGGCTGCAGATCTGGTCTGGCTGCAGATCTGGTCTGGCTGCAGATCTGGTTTGGCTGGAAGGGTTGGGTTGGGCTGGATTGGCTGGATTTAGGAGGGCTTCAAGGAGTGGGTTGGGGGGAATGCGGGATGGCTGTTGCAGTTCAATCGAGTGTGCGTCATGGTTGCTCCAAGTTACATGAGTGGGACATTTCACGCACTGTTGGCGCTGAGGGGGTAGAGTAGCACGATCACTGCCACGCTCTGAAGCATGTGTTTCTGCTCTTGCTGTTGTCATGGTTCAGCAATGGCAGCGACAGTAGGATGGGATGGGAAGCATGAGTTGCATCACCGTCGACAACACCAAGAGCACTGATAGCTGCAACCCACCTCATGCCCGATCCAATTGTGCCTGGATTTTGAATTGTCCAATCGCTCCAAGTCTTGCTCCTTTTCTCTCAAACGTCCTCCTCATTCTCTGCGCCAAGTTGGCCTCTTACCCCAAGTTGGCCTCTTACCCCAAGTTGCCCTCTTACCCCAAGTTGCCGGCTGCCTCCATTCTCAAGTCATCACTTCTCCCCACTTGTCTCGATGCATGTGATGTGTCCCCCCCACATCACATGCATGTGATGTGTCAAGTCCATCTTCTGATGCACGCAGCACACTTGCCACCTCAACCCCCACACTCCTCATCTCTGCCCTTTCCGCACTCGAACCTAATCCCAGAACCACTCCTTTTCCCAACCCACCCCTTCCTTTCCCCCATCATGTTCCACTCTCTTCCCAAACCTGCTCCACAGGTTCGGCAACTTCCGGGTCTTTCGCCGAGCCTTTGTGAGTCCGGAGGACGTGTGGAGGGAGTTTGAGCGCATGGCTCGGGGAGGAGCCTCATCCTGGCCTGGTGGCAGCTTCGGCAGCAGCAGATACCAGCGCAGCCAGCAACAACAGCATCAGCAGCAGCAGGAGCAGCAGGATAGGAGGCAGCAACAGTGGCAGCAGCAATGGGAGCAGCAGTGGCAGCAGCAGTACGGGCGGCAGCAGCAGCAGCAGCAGTGGCAGCAGGGGTCAAGGCAGGCAAGGTCAGGGCGGACAAGTTCAGACCCCAAGGGGTACTACGCTGCTTTGGGATTGGCCGGCAAAGGACGGCAGGCGAGTCAGCAGGAGATCAAATCTGCGTTCCGCCAGCTGGCGATGGAGACGCACCCTGACAGGCAGCCTGACGAGGACAAGAGGCGGGCAGCGGAGGAGCGGTTTAAGAGGATTGCAGAGGCGTATGAGGTGCTAAGGGATCCCGGCAAGCGCAGTGCGTATGACAGCGGTGCACTGTGAGGTGTGAGGCGTGAGGAGTGTGAGGTCTGGAGTATGATGTCTTGGGTGGTGATGGGTGCGGAGGCGTATGAGGTTCTAAGGGATCCCAGCATGCGCAGTGCGTATGACAGCTTAGTGCTGTGGAGGCGTATGAGGTGCTGCGGCATAGTGCATATGACAGCGGTGTGCTCTGATGGCAGTGCACTGCGCCATGTGTGTCTCGAGTTGTGAGCTGCGAGCAGTTTCTGCAGAAGTTACAGCAGAGAGCAGACGGCGACCCGTTGAGATGCGCATGGGAAGCCGCAGGAGAGAACTACAGGAGACTGGGGACCCTAGTACGCATAGAACAGTCCTAGTTTTTTACTGACTCGAGATCCGTGGGCTTGCTGAGGTCAAAACTCTTCCTACTCTTGCAGGAGAGTACTACAGAAGACTGGAGAATGGCAGTGTGTATCGAGGTCCTCCCTACCTCCAGGGCCCTCCGACTGTTGCAATCTTGAAATTCTTGGTGAAAACTGAGTTAGGTTGATGAAGGTTGCAATGACAATCTCACCATGCCATGGGGTCTAAAGGACATTCCTTCCACGGCAGCATCCATGGAATGCAATGCATCAGCCAATGTCAACGAACCAAGTGACATCTGTTTTTTAAAGCCTGTCTTTAGGCATAATAACTATCAAAATGATCTGCTCCCTACTGCTGCTACCATGCAGGGCTAGAGAAACCCCACCAACAGCAATGCAGCCTCGCTTGCTGTCTAAACAGGTAGCAGCACCACAGCCCTATTGTACCAGTGACACGCAATGGCAGTCCTACTGTACAATCTAGCACTCCAATGGTATGCAGATATCTCCCAACTCCAATTAGGATTAGCCTTTGCCAGCACCCATATGCACATATTGTACAGCCAAGTGATCTGTCACATGCAAAAACGTTCATGCCAGCAGCACACTGCTTATCACCCAACTCCAGTCAGCAACCACTAGTACCACCACCCACATGCATTTTATCGAGCAGGCTAGTGATCCTAAGAGCATGTAGTGATCACCCAACGCCAATCACGAGCTGCTGGCACCACCACCGCCGCCACCCACGTGCATCGCCCGTGCAAGCTCCGCATCAAAGTCAGCAGCGCCAGCAACGCCCTCTATCTCCCTGTCGATGCGCACAGCAGCCCGGTCCACCTCCCGCCCCGCCACCTGCTGCTCCATCGCCTGCAGCTGCCCCACTACCTGCGCCATGGTGGGGCGCGACGCGGTGGGCATGGCCGTGCAGGCGAGGGCAAGGTGGGCCAGACGCAGTAGCAGGTCGTCTGGGGCGACTAGGTGAGGGTCCTTGAAAGCTGCTACGGAGTTTGATGATACTAAGGGAGCCACCTGGTAGGGGGGTTGGGGGAAGTGTGGAGGTGTGGGGGGGTTATGAAGCACGTGAGTGGAAGGTGAGGGAGATGCGAGCCTGGCGCACCAGCAGGCCGTGTGTTGCGACAAAGGTGCTACAGATTTTGATGCTACTAAGGGAGCCACCTGGGAGGGGGTGAGAGGGAGGTGTGGAGGTTATGAGGCATGTGAGTGCAAGGTGAGGTGAGGGCAAGGCGAGGTGAGTGCCGGCATCTTTACCACACAACACACAGATGCAATATGGAGGTGAGAAGAAGATGGTTGGAACCAACGATTGGATTTAAAGTCACAAAGGGGTAGGGGCTGTGTTTGCTTCGATAAAAGGAGTTAAGAAGAGCAGATGCAGAAAAGGGCGTGTTGAAGGAAAGGAGGGACGGGGTGAACGAAATGATGATTTTGGAATGGGAAGGGACACTCAGCCACACATAGCCGCACCACAGCACATAGCCTCGTCGTGCCCAGTTCTTCAGGTTGTTCTGAATGATCCGCATGACCAGCTTTTTCAGGTCGATCTGACTATCAATAATAAGTATTCTGGCGAATGTTTATTATACTTCATGAAAGAAAATACTGATGAGAATTCCCAACAGAGATCTTCGTACCCAGTTTTTGAGGTTGATCTGGCAGTCCTTTGTCACGTAGATGGGCTTGCGCACTGTGATGACCACCAGCACCAGCATGCCGAAGCTGCCACAAAGAACATGGAAAAGGGCCATGATGGAGATATGTGGTAGGCGATCAGATATGTGGTATGTGATGAGATGTGTGGTATGCGATGAGATATGTGGTCTGTGATGAGATATGTGGTATGTGATGAGATATGTGGTATGTGATAGATATGTGGTATGTGATGAGATATGGGTATGTCATGAGATATGTGGTATGTGATGAGATATGTGGTATGTGATGAGATATGTGGTATGTGATGAGATATGTGGTATGTGATGAGATATGTGGTATGTCATGAGATATGTGGTATGTGATGAGAGATGGGTATGTTATGAGATATGTGGTATGTGATGAGATTTGGTATGTGATGAGATATGTGGTATGTGATGAGATATGTGGTATGCGATGAGATATGTAGTATGTGATGAGATATGTGGTATGTCATGAGATATGTGGTCTGTGATGAGATATGTGGTATGTGATGAGATATGTGGTATGTGATGAGATATGTGGTATGTGATGAGATATGTGGTATGGTATGTGATGAGATATGTGGTATGTGATGAGATACGTGGTATGTGATGAGATATGTGGTATGTGATGAGATATGTGGTATGTGATGAGATATGTGGTATGGTATGTGATGAGATATGTGGTATGTGATGAGATATGTGGTATGTGATGAGATATGTGGTATGGTATGTGATGCGATATGTGGTATGTGATGAGATATGTGGTACGTGATGAGATATGTGGTATGGTATGTGATGAGATATGTGGTATGTGATGAGATATGTGGTATGGTATGTGATGAGATATGTGGTATGTGATGAGATATGTGGTATGTGATGAGATATGTGGTATGTGATGAGATATGTGGTATGTCATGAGATATGTGGTATGTGATGAGATATGGGTATGTTATGAGATATGTGGTATGTGATGAGATTTGGTATGTGATGAGATATGTGGTATGTGATGAGATATGTGGTATGCGATGAGATATGTAGTATGTGATGAGATATGTGGTATGTCATGAGATATGTGGTCTGTGATGAGATATGTGGTATGTGATGAGATATGTGGTATGTGATGAGATATGTGGTATGTGATGAGATATGTGGTATGGTATGTGATGAGATATGTGGTATGTGATGAGATACGTGGTATGTGATGAGATATGTGGTATGGTATGTGATGAGATATGTGGTATGTGATGAGATATGTGGTATGTGATGAGATATGTGGTATGTGATGAGATATGTGGTATGGTATGTGATGAGATATGTGGTATGTGATGAGATATGTGGTATGGTATGTGATGAGATATGTGGTATGTGATGAGATATGTGGTACGTGATGAGATATGGGTATGTTATGAGACTTGTGGTATGTGATGAGATATGTGGTATGTGATGAGATATGTGGTATGGTATGTGATGAGATATGTGGTATGTGATGAGATATGTGGTATGGTATGTGATGAGATATGTGGTATGTGATGAGATATGTGGTATGGTATGTGATGAGATATGTGGTATGTGATGAGATATGTGGTATGTGATGAGATATGTGGTATGTGATGAGATATGTGGTATGTTATGAGATATGTGGTGTGTGATGAGATATGTGGTATGTTATGAGATATGTGGTATGTGATGAGATATGTGGTATGTTATGAGATATGTGGTATGTGATGAGATATGGATTATGTTATGAGATATGTGGTTGAAAATGATCCTGAGTGCATGATACTTAAACAGCTCTGGTGTGGAAGGTGAGTGAAGAGTTCGCAGTAGATGAACAGGATAGCTTGCCATGACCTCACCTTAGCATGTCGGCTGTGGGAGTGGCCTTGTGAGACGTGTAGTAAAGGCAGGTGCCGCATAGCCGAGTGTGCCCATCACCCTAGTGTACCGCACTGGCACCGCTCTGTACCGCTGTGTGCCGCACTGTACCTGTGCACGTCGGCGGCAGGAGTGGCCTTGTGAGACATGTAGTAAGCGGGGTCCACATAGCCAGGTGTGCCCATCACTCGAGTGGCGGCCACTGAGGTGCCCTCCCCAAGCCTCAGCAGCCCAAAGTCCGCCACTTTAGCCTGCAGTAACACAACCCCCATCGAACAGAGCGGTCAATAACCGGTCATAAATGACTGGTGGATCACTGGCCAAGGAAAAACCATTTGATGGAACGTCTCTTGCAGGAAAGACTACACATTTTTGCTGCCATCACCAAAATGCCATTCGGTCACAATGTGCTTCATTGCTGCCCTCCATCACCTGAGCCATCAGGGCGAACTCAAGTCAAGATCCCGATCCACATCACCGATAGCTTATTGTGCATATGCGGATATAATTAATGGGGTCCTCGGTAGAACCGAATTCGAAGAAAGCCAATCAAGATGACATGTGCAAGCCATGCGTTCATCCTGTGATACAATCCTTGTGGCGCCTAAAGAGTACCTGCATCTTGGCGTTGAGGAGCACGTTGGCTGGCTTGATGTCACGGTGCACGATGCCGAAGTCATGCAGGTACTGCAACCCCTTGCCCACCCCTATGAGGATGTCCAGGCGCTGCACCAGCGACAGAGGCTTGGCGGCACCTGCATAACGAGGGAAAAAAGAAAAGGAACAAAAACAAACAAATGAAAAAAGTGTCTCTTTGTACCTTGTGGTCCAGGATTTTCAAGTGGTCGCGAATAGGATCGTCCCATTATGCGCCCGTATAATTACTGGGGAGGCGACTTATCCACGTAAACGAGGAGTATTCTTCTGCTTTCTCTCCAATAAAGACATCCCCTGCTGCTCTTATCTGCTTGACCTTGCTCCACGTACAGATTGTGACATCCACTGCACTCTATGCAGGGTTGCGAATTTGAGCTCCCAACTTCTACTGAGAAGTAAATACATCAATCAAATAAGATAATCGCATGGGATGGAGCGTATTCTCATATTTATTGAATCAAGCAAGCACGTGGGGTGGGCCATGTGATTACCTGGTCCATTCCATGTGGTTACCTAGCTGAAACCATGCAATATGTCGGTCCAAACCATGTGATTACCCGGTCCAAACCATGTGATTACCCGGTCCAAACCATGTGATTACCCGGTCTAAACCATATGATTACCCTGTCCAAACCATGTGATTACCCGGTCCAAACCATGTGATTACCCGGTCCAAACCATGTGATTACCTGGTCCAAACCATGTGATTACCCGGTCCAAACCATGTGATTACCTGGTCCAAACCATGTGATTACCCGGTCCAAACCATGTGATCACCCGGTCCAAACCATGTGATTACCCGGTCCAAACCATGTGATTACCCGGTCCAAACCATGTGATTACCCAGTCCAAACCATGTGATTACCCGGTCCAAACCATGTGATTACCCGGTCCAAACCATGTGATTACCCGGTCCAAACCATGTGATTACCCGGTCCAAACCATGTGATTACCCGGTCCAAACCATGTGATTACCCGGTCTAAACCATATGATTACCCTGTCCAAACCATGTGATTACCCGGTCCAAACCATGTGATTACCCGGTCCAAACCATGTGATTACCTGGTCCAAACCATGTGATTACCCGGTCCAAACCATGTGATTACCTGGTCCAAACCATGTGATTACCCGGTCCAAACCATGTGATCACCCGGTCCAAACCATGTGATTACCCGGTCCAAACCATGTGATTACCCGGTCCAAACCATGTGATTACCCAGTCCAAACCATGTGATTACCCGGTCCAAACCATGTGATTACCCGGTCCAAACCATGTGATTACCCGGTCCAAACCATGTGATTACCCGGTCCAAACCATGTGATTACCCGGTCCAAACCATGTGATTACCCGGTCCAAACCATGTGATTACCCGGTCCAAACCATGTGATTACCCGGTCCAAACCATGTGATTACCCAGTCCAAATCATGTGATTACCCGGTCCAAACCATGTGATTACCTGGTCCAAACCATGTGATTACCCGGTCCAAACCATGTGATTACCCGGTCCAAACCATGTGATTACCCAGTCCAAACCATGTGATTACCTGGTCCAAACCATGTGATTACCCGGTCCAAACCATGTGATTACCCGGTCCAAACCATGTGATTACCCAGTCCAAACCATGTGATTACCCGGTCCAAACCATGTGATTACCCGGTCCAAACCATGTGATTACCCGGTCCAAACCATGTGATTACCCGGTCCAAACCATGTGATTACTCGGTCCAAACCATGTGATTACCAAATCCACGCCTCCAGATCGCCATTCTGCATCAACTCATACACCAAGATTTGCTCCATGTGCCCCATTGCCGCATCATAGTCCTTGCACAATTGCCTTTTGAGCCGTTTTAAAGGTCACCACGTTACCATGGCACCTGACACTGTTTGAGTCGACCATGTCATCACCTGGTCCAATCCACGCCTCCAGGTCGCCATTCTCCATGAACTCGTACACCAGGATCTGCTCCATGTGCCCCGTCGCTGCATCATAGTCCTTGCAGAACCCCAGCAGCCGCACCAGATTCAGGTGGTTCTTTGTTGCCATCTCACGCACCTGCCATGGCAAACAGGTGGTTTTGATTGGCATAAGGAAGAAGAAACTTAGGTGAAATACATCTGACAGCCTAAGCATTTGCTTGTGAATTAGTGAAGCAGGGCAGGGCAGTGGAATGCAGGAAAACATTCATTGTAATCTCGCAGGCAGTGAAGTGAAGCCATGAAAACAGACAAAAGCACGATTCATTCTTGAAGGACTAGAAAGCACAGCACATACTTTTGCTACGCATTCAGTAGTTGAGGTAAGAACCAAAAAAAAAAATAACACAAAAAAGCAGACTTTAAGCACAGAAGCACATGCCTCCCTCTGGAAGTCGTTGGTCAGAACCCTGCCTCGCTTCACAGCCCACAGCTCATTCGGATCGTTCGGCGACACTCCCTTGTACACATCTCCAAAGCTGCCACTCCCGATCCTGTTGCCCTCCGCCCATTGGTTCGTCGCTCGTGCCAGCTCATCCAGTGAATACTCCCGACACACATT